CGCTTACCCTAACCCCTTACACGAACCCTAACCCCCTAACCCCAACCCATCCCCTTACACGAACCCTAACCCCCTAACCCCAACCCATCTCCTAACACTAATCCTAACCCCAACCCCTACCCTAATCCATCCTTAACCCCAACCCTTAACCTAACCACAACCGCCTTACACTAACCCTAACCCCAACCCTATCCCATCCCCTAACACTAACCCTAACCCCAACCCTAATCCATCCTCAACCCCAACACTTAACCTAACCACAATCGCTTACCCTAACCCCTTACACTAACCCTAACCCCTAACGCACTCATCTATCGTTGCCGGGTCTCCCCACGTGTCTCCGCCGGCCGAGCCGTGGCCCGTGTGGATGAAGCTGTTGGGTAGAGGCTTGTGCCGCCTCCTCCTAACTCCCACGGTCGCGCGGCCAGGGACCCGGTGCTATTGTTCTTGGGCAGGGCCGGCTTTGCTGCCACCTTCGTCGTCCTGGTCTTCGTCGCCGCGGCGATGACGGAGGAAGATGGGGAGGAGGAGGGAGACGGCGTCGCCGCGGCGACGAAGGAGGGGGAAGGAGTCACTCCCGGACGAAGAATCCTGGATGACTTCCCGGGAGAGATCCGGCCCGCCCCCGGCGCGGCACCGGTAGTTGTCCCGGAGCGAGGCGAGGTGAGGGGTCGCGCGGGGGGCGTTGCCGCGGCGACCGCGTCCTCTCCCGGCACGCTCGCGTACAGGTGGTGCGGCGATAGCGGGCCGGGCCTGCCGTCGCCGCGGCAACCGCTTCCCTGCGCTTCCTCACCGACGAAGAACCGAGACAGACCCACCGAGACGTCTCCGTTCGGGATCGGCGACCCGCGCGCGCCGCCGGCGCCACCTAGTGGGGGCGACGACCCGGCGCTGGAGGCGACGCTACCAGAGCGCGCCGCGCGCGACGGCGCCGCCGAGATGGGTCGCGGGGACGTGCGGTGGTGCCCCCTGGTGGTAGCGTCCTCGTCCTCGTCTCTGGCGGGCGTGTCGTAGATCGGTGTGGCGACGCGTAGCGCCACCTCGTGGCTGCTCTCGCACGCGCGCGCGCTCCGCTCCACGTTCGCGTAAACGGTCGAAGAGCGAGTCTCGCCGGGGGCCGTGTACGCATCGAGGTCGTTTCCCTCGCTGGGGGCCGTATACATATCGAGGTCCTTTCCCTCGCCGGGGGTCGCGTACACGCTGAGGTCGTCATTTTCCTCGGCAGGGGCCGTATACGTGGCGAGACCGTTTCTTCCCTCATCGGGGGTCGTATACATAGTGACATTGTTCCCCTCGGCAGGGGTCGTATACATAGTGACATTTTTCCCCTCGGCGGGGGTCGTATACATAGTGACATTTTTCCCCTCGGCGGGGGTCGTATACATAGTGACATTTTTCCCCTCGGCGGGGGTCGTATACGCGGCGAGGTCGTTCGAATCGACTGAGTTCACGTAGATAGGCGTCGAGAGGTCGTGAGAGTTCGCCCCGCCAGCAGGGGTCGCCGTTGCGCCCACGTAACCGCGGTAACCGAGCGGCGACGGAGCTCGCAGGGACACGTCGTCCTCGTCTGTGTCGGTGGCGCCCTCTGAGGAGGAGGAGTCGTTGTCGAAGTTGATGAGAGGCGGGGCGTTGACGTACGCCGGCTGCTGCGCGACCTGTGTGTGAGAGAGAGAGAGAGGACGCAGACGAGTTAGTATAGAGGATGGACCTCTTCATCGACACTGTCCACGCGGTTTATACACATACACACACACGCACACACTCACGCGCACGCGCACACGCACGCACCCACACCACCACGCACGCACGCACGCACGCACGCACGCACGCACGCACGCACGCACGC